ACGGAGTTTTGCTCTTGTTACCCTGGCTGGAGTGCAATGGCGCGATCTCGGCTCACCGCAACCTGCGCCTCCTAGGTTCAGGCAATTCTCCTGCCTCAGCGTCCTGAGTAGCTGGGATTACAGGCACGCGCCACCATGCCCAGCTAATTTTTTGTATTTTTAGTAGAGACGGGGTTTCACCGTGTTGACCAGGATGGTCTCGATCTTTTGACCACGTGATCCACCCGCCTCGGCCTCCCAAAGTGCTGGGATTAACAGGCATGAGCCACCGTGCCCGGCCTTGTTTGCTCAATTTTACTGGAGGTTCACAATCCAGCGATTGTAGTTTTGAAATCTGAAGATCCCTAAAACCCGAATATATATATTTTAAAACTAATTTAGCTGCAATCTTTGCAGTCATTTGGCAGAAAGTCTGACTAGAACATTCTTTTGTCCATGTTGTTGCAGTCTCCTCCTTTTTCAAGGCCCTGTTCAAATAGCTCCTAGCTGTTGTAGCTTTCCTTCATTTTCCTCACTTTATCTTCACAATGCCTTCGTGAGATAGAGACTGTTACTCCCATTTAACAGATGAGGGGGTTAAGGCACGCAGATTCAGAAACTTGCTTAAGGTTAGACTAGGTGGACATCAGATTTGGCACTCACACCACCTGACTCCAAAGCCTGTTTTTTGTTTTTGGTAATAGCCTCCTTGTTGAGATATAATTCACATACCATACAATTAATCCATTTAAAGTGTATGTTTCAATGATTTTTATTATATCACCAGAGTGGTGCAGCCAACATTATCATCACTCCAAAGAGAAAACATGTATCTTTTAGCCGTCACTCCCCATCTTCCCATTGGCCTCCAGCACAACCACTGATGTACTTTCCCTCTCTTTCTGTAACCTGCCTGTTCTGGACATTTCGTATACGTAGAATCATGTAATATGTGGTCTTTTGTGACTTGACTTCTTTCATTTAGCATAATGTTGTAAAGGTTCATCATTGTAGCATATACCAGTACTTCATCCTTTATGGATGAATAATATTCTATTGTATGAATACCACATTTTGTTTATCTCCTCATCAGTTGAACATTTGGTTTGTTTCCACCTTTTGGCTCTTAGGTCTATTTTGCTAGAAACATTTGTGTGCAATGTTTTTGTAAGTATGTTTTTATTTCTCTTGGGTATATACTTAGGATTGTAATTGCTGGGTCCTATGGAAACTTTTTGTTTAATGTTTCTTTCATTCACACCTTCTGTCGCCCAGGCTGGAGTGTAGTAGCACGATCACTACACTCACTACGGCTCCCTGCAGCCTCCATCTAACGGGCTCAAGCGATCTTCTCGCCTCAGCCTCCTGAGTAATTGGGATGACAGGTGCATGCCACCATGCCCAGCTAGTTTTTTGTTACTTTTTGTAGAGAGTGGGTCTCATTATGTTGCCAAGGCTGGCCTCTAACTCTTGAGCTCAGGCCGTTCTCCTGTTTTGGCCTCCCAAAGTGCTGGCATTATAGGGTGAGCCACTGTGCTGAGACCTATGTTTAGGTGTTGAGGAACTGCCAAACTGTTTTCCAAAGTAGCTGTACCATTTTACATTCCTAGCAGTATATGAGGCTTCCAGTTTTTCCACATTCTTGCCAGCACTTAATATCTGTCTTTTTGACTATAGCCATCCTAGTGGATGTGGGTTTTTTTTTTTTTTTTTTTTTT